ATAACTGAAAGATAACTTTCTTTGAAAGTATTCTTGGGTTGCAAACTTTATCTTTCAAAATTTTGAATATGTCCTTCTACTGTCTCGGTAGAGTTTCTGCTTAGAAATCTGCAGTTAGCCTAGAATAGTGGTGGGCAAATTCATTAGTCAACAGAGCCAAATATCAACAGTACAACGATGGAAATTTCTTTTGAGAGCCAAATTTTTTAAACTTTAACTTCTCCTAACGCCACTTCTTCAAAATAGACTTGCCCAGGCCGTGGTATTTTGTGGAAGAGCCACACTCAAAGAGCCAAAAAGCCACATGTGGCTCACGAGCCGCAGTTTGCCTATCATGGGCCTGGGAGTTCATTTTTAGGTTACTGTCACCTCCATCCCCACCTGCACTTAAAACTCTTATCAACTTCTTTGACAATTTCATTGTTTCATGGAGATGGTATTATACATTGAGATAATTGTGTTCCAGTTTTTTCCCCAGGATTAGGAAATTCATGGCTATTATTTTTTAAAATGTTTTGCTGCTTTCTCTCTTCTCCTTCCACCCAATAATATATTTTTTTTAATCTTTATTTTTGAAAATATTACAAAGGCCATCTTTCCTCCCCTCCCCCGCCCTCATTAAACTCTTCCAACCTGCTCCTGTCTCCCCCTTTCTAACCCCCCCCCCCCCACCAGGCCTTCACTACCCCATTGTCTGTGCTCACAGGTTATGCATATATGCAAACAAATTCCTTGGTTGATCTCCCTACCCTGCCTTCCTCTGAGGTTCAACAATCTGTTCATGCTTCTATGACTGGTCTGTTTTTGATCATTAGTTTATTTAGTTCATTAGATTTTACATCTGAGTGAGATCATTTGATATTTGTCTGTCTTTGACCTAGGACCGTAGTTGCGAGCCACATGTGGATCTTCCATTAAATACCAGGGGCTGGGTGAGTCTATTTTGAAGAAGTGACATTAGAAGTTTAAAAAATTTGGCTCTAAAAAGGAATTTCAATCATCGTACTGTTGATATTTGGCTCTGTTGACTGAGTTTGCCCACCACTGTCCTAGGCGATGAATTCCTAAATGTACTGCTAGGAGAGGTGTCTGAGGTTTAGTTGCCTTTCTAGGACTTTTATGGTTTCATATCTACATTTAAGTCTTTTATCCATTTTGAGTTTATACTTCTGTGTGGTGTATATTGGTGGTGTAGTGTAATTTTTTGCATGTACTTGTCCAGTTTTCCCAATACCACTTATTGAAGAGACTGTCCCTTCTCCATTGTATGCTCTTGCCTCCTTTGTCAAATATTAATTGATCATAATGTCTTGGGTTGATTTCTGGGTTCTCTGTTCTGTTCCATTGGTCTGTATGCCTGTTCTTGTGCCAGTGCCAGGCCGTTTTGAGCACAGCAGCTTTGTAATAGAATTTGAAATCTGATATTGTGATTCCTCCAATTTTGTTGTTCTTTCTCCAAATTGCTACAACTATTCAAGATCTTTTTTGATTCGATATAAATTTTTGGAGTGTTTGTTTTAGGTCTGTGAAAAATGCCATTGGTATTTAATAGGTATTGCATTGAATCCATAGGTTGCATTGGGTAGTATGGACATTTTACTTATGTTGATTCTACCAATCCATGAATATGGTTTATTTTTCCACTTGTTTATATCTCCCTTTTTTAAACATCCTGTAGTTTTCAGAGTACATGTCTTTTACCTCCTTGGTTAAGTTTATTCCTACGTATTTTAATTTTTTTGTTGCAATGGTATATGGGGTGGTTTTTGTTTCTAAGTTCATTATTGGTGTAAACATGCTATGGATTTTTGGGTGTTAATTTTGTGTCCTATTTGTTTCCAAATTCATTTATTAAATCTAGTAGTTTTCTGATGGAATCTTTAAGGGATTTTCTATGTATATTATCATGTCATCTGCAAATAATGAGAGTTTTACTTCCTCCTTTCTAATTTGGATATTTTCTTTCTTCTTATCTGATCACAATGGCCAGGACTTCCAGAACTATGTTGAACAAGAGTAGTGAAAGAGGGTATCCTTATCTTGTTCCTGTTCTTAGGGGATACGGTTTTAGTTTTCACCCATTGAGTCTGATGTTGGCTGTAGGTTTGTCATAATATGGTCATTACGTTGAGGTATAATCCCTCAACTTTGCTGAGTGTATAAGAAAAAAGATGTTGGATTTTGTGGACTGTCTTTTATGCATCAATTGATACGTTCATGTGATTTTTGTCCAGCAATCTGTTTATGTGCTGTATAACTTATTGATTTGTGAATATTATACCAGCCTTGCATCCCCGGAATAAACCCCACTTGGTCATGATACATGATGTATTACCGGATCTGATTTGCTAACATTTTATTGAGGACTTTAGCATCTATGTTCATCAGGGATATTGGCCTGTAGTGCTCTCTGTAGTGTCTTTAGCTGTTATAGAAATTAAGGTAATGCTGGCCTCATAGAAGAGTTGGGACGTGTTCCTTACCCAATAATCTTGTGTTGGCTTTTCTAATGGAGTCTGATGATTCTTGTAAGGTTTCTTCCTTTTTTAAAAATTTCAATTCTCTTGTCCTTTTTTACTTGAATAACTTATAAATTCCTCTCATTTATTTTCTCATCCCTCTCATCTGCTCTATTTGCAATACTTTCTGATACATTCTTAATCTAATTTATTGAGTTCACCAACTCTTGATTTTTTTATTTTTAGAATTTAAATCTCTTGATAAAATACTTTAGTATTTTAAATTTCATTCTTGAGTTTATTGCCTTTCAGCTTGTTGAATTTCATCATATTTTTAATTATTTACCAGTTGGACCACAGTATGCTGTGTCTTTGGTTTTGTTTGCTGGAGTTTTTTCATGTTATGAAAACTCATGGCAATATATCACAAGTTTTTGACAAAGTGTGCTTCTGCTGCCACCTTTGGGTAGTGAACATCTTATTTAGGTAAGGCTTCATACATCTACTTTGATTCTACAGTACAACAGATTGACAGAAGTTCAGTTTCCAGAAGGTGATGCTACAACTTCAGTTTTTATCTTACTGGAGCTGACTTGCTGCTAAAGTTGAAAATGTGTGCATAAAAAAGGGCAGCTTTTCCAAAAACAGGCTGGTGGCAGAGTGGGAGGAGGTGTATGCTTAGCATGGTGGCTTTGACTCTGCCTACAGCCCAGTAGGAAAATCGAGTTAGGTCAGAGGCAGACCTCTTGCTAGAATCCTGGGGCAGTCAGCAGGAAATGTGTACCTTCAATTTTTTGTGTTCTCTTTTCTCTCCTCCTCCTCTCCTCCCCCCAAAGAGGTCTCAGGTGGATGTTGAAGAGCAATGGGACTCAGCTACAGTCCAGATAGCTGAGCAGATGTTCCCTCATCCCTTTCTACCACCCTGCTAATGAGCCTGCCACCATTAGCACCAATGCAGCTTCCGTGGCTCTAGCTCTCTCCTAGGTTCAGTTCACCCCCTGTGGGATGCACTGGTGATGAGCTCTTGGGTGCCCTAGTGTGCAGTGCATCATCTACATATAAGACCAAGATAATAAAAGCTTAAATGAGGAGAATGGTAGAATGGACAAGAGAGAATGGGTGTATAAAATACTTGGAATAGAAAAGTTAGCTTTAATACTGATAGACTGGCTACTTAAATCCTGATTATAAATTTCCTTATGAAATTTTACATGACAAAATTCCACATAGACAGGAAGAGCAGGCTGAGGTTCAGACTTAACAAGTGAAAACAAACACTGTATTGTTTGATTTGTGTATTAGAGGAAAAATAAGTTCAAATTGAACATTTCATTTTGAAACAGATGAAAGAATACCCCTTTCCTAAAAAAAAAAAAAAAAAAAAAAAAAAAAAAGTCAGTCAGTTGAAATTTCCTTTTATTTAAAGACCCGAGGGCCAGGAAGCTGCTTTGTTACTGTTGTAACACAGGCATCAAGGAGTCCCCATTTATACCAGCACTGAACTCCTGCTGCAGCAGGTGCACAGTGAAGCGAGAGTTCCTTTTCTGGCTTTCAGGTTGTAGTACATTTTTATAGCAGTAAGTTCTTTGGTAGACTATCATTCAGGAGAAGTACAGGCTTTGCAAAGGACAGTAGTAAAATATTTCATGTAAAATTTGAGCATAATGCTTATCATAAGCAATTTGTAGATTTCAGAAAAAAATGAATCCTGGTAAACTTAAGTTTGCTAAGTTTTGAGGCAATATTTTAATGTGCTCAGATATACAAAAAAAAAATCTGAAGTAGGGTAGATAGTAAGCTTTTAAATGTTACTTCTAATAATTTGGTCAAGTGTAAACTAATCTGAAGGATGTGGAATTTTTGAAATCCTGGACAGCTAGCTACTCCTTTCCATCCTATTCACAAGTACCTCTGTATGACATCATTTTGGACAGCTATTTAGTAATGCATCAAATAAATACAAAAATAATGACAAAATTTTCAACTACACCGTAATATCAAGACTTTGCCTTATCATATATGAAAAATGTGGATGATCAAAGTAGATCACTTACCACAAAAAAAAAAAAAAAGGAATACCAGGATGGGAAAAGGCGTGCCAGATTTGATCTGTTGAGATTAGTGTGTATAATGCCATGGAACTTTAGTGTTGGTTTGAAAAGTGATGCTGCTCCTCTGTGCAGTGAGCTCTCTTTCATCAAGAGTCGTATTTTTGAAGTGGTTTTATTTTGATTTTACTAGACACCAAAATTTCTAACAGCATTTTCCTTTTAAAATCAGAAACTTATTCCACTGCAGATTGAGGATTGAAGCATTTTAATATTCTTTGGGTAACTTAATAAGATTAGTGTTATGATCATGTAATTATATGTGGGGTCATTTCACTTAAGCCCCCTGCACTGCTACAGTTCTAAACTCAGATTTAAATAAATAAGGACTGACTGTCTCTCACAGACGGGTTCTAAATTTAGGAGACTTTTTCTCGGAGCTGCCATTTGTAATGAGGAGTTTGTGGTGGCGACGATCCAGCTGACAGTCCTTTCACACCACGGTCTGGACAGGAGTGACACACTGTGCAGGAGAACTGGCCCTCTCTGAGGAGGAGGCTGATCGGGTGGAGATCTCTCTCTGTAGTTCCTCTACTTTTTTCTGAAGTTCCGCTCGTTTAGCAAGAAGTTCTTTGTATCTATTGTGAATAGGCTCCTACAAAAGCAAAACACCACAAAATCATTCCAACGAGGCAATTCTAAACAAGCCCAAAGTCACATTCTGGTATGTAGTCCCGTCCCTACTAAATGTTGCCATGTGGGTTTTTTTCCAGCACCACTGCTCTTCCTCTGGCTTTCCCATTGCCCCAAGCATTCCCACAGAATATTCTAAAGCTGGCAATTTTCCAAATATAACACACAATATGATCTAAAAGCCAATGTCAAATAATCCCTGTGGTTTAGTTTGAGGTTTTTAGTCTTTTGAAGAGTTATAAGTAGTTAAGTATTCCATATTTCTCTAACCTAATATAGCAAGGCCTCTAGAAGTTAATCCAGTCTGATGCCTTCATTGTACAGCAGAGAAAGGATAAAATAGAAGTGTTATTTTCAAAGCGATCTAAGCAGTCAGGAAGGATAAGAACCAAGTATACTGATTACCCCTCAGTAGTGCTTTTTCTACTATATAGTTCTAACTGTAGTTCTAGTTACTATACAATTGCAAGGATGAAAACTCCCGCTGTGTATTGCACAGCATACCTGTGGTTTCATACGTGGATTCCACCTCACGTAATATCCCACCCAGAGCTCTAGGTGGCGCATGCTAGCTACTGGATAGAGGACGTGGTTGGAGTAGCTCCCATAGAGAGGATTAGTGAAGTCGTCCAGCTGGCTGTTGATGTAGGACCACAGTGACAACGTCCTTTTAGGAAGGTTCTGAAGAGGAAGACAGAGATTCATCACATGAGCTCTTTGTACTTGAGAGTTATAGAGAGGGTATGTTGCGATCTCTTTGTTACCTTAGCAACAGACATTAAAATCAAAGGGTATTGGGAAAGTTAAACACAGAGTTACTGTGCCCTCATTTCCACTCTTAGGTTTGAAAACAGGCACATGAAATCCTGTACACAGACGTTCAAAGCAGCATTGCTTATAATAGCCAAAAAGAAATCTGAATGTCTTATCAACTGACAAATGGACAAAGTAGTTTATACAATGGAACGTTCAGCTATAAAAAGGAATAAAGTATTGATACCAGCTACAAAACAAACCTTATGCTATGTGAAAGAAGCCAGACACTGGGGCCACATCCTGAATAACGCCATTTCCGTGAAATGTCCCAAAGGGGCAAAGCCACAGAGACAGATTAGGGTTTGCCAGGCACTAGGAGGGCAGGAGAAGGGCGAGTAACTACTAACAGGTACACAGTTTCTTTCCAATTTTGTGAACATAGTGCTGACATTTGTACAACTCTAGATATAACCACTAAACCGCTAAAACCGGTTTGGCTCAGTGGATAGAGTGTCGGCCTGCAGACTGAGGGGTCCTGGGTTCGATTCCGGTCTCAAGGGCATGTGACTTTGGTTGCAGGCGCATCCCCAGAAGGGGTTGTGCAAGAGGCAACTGATTGATGATTCTCTCTCATCAATGTTTCTGACTCTCTATCCCTCTCTCTTCCTGTGAAAAATCAATAAAAATATATATTAAAACAAAAACCACTAAACCAAGCTTGTCAAACTCGTGGCCTGATGACATGCTTGCACTAAGCAATACACTTTTTAAAGAATTTTGTGGAATGCAAATTATACCTCGGTAAAAACGTTCCTTTTTTAAAATACAGTCAATCCTATTCAAGCCTCAAAAAATCAAAGTATTTAGCTATTCTGAATTATTTAACATTCAACCAATCCTTGAGTGCCTACTGTGCAGGCAGTTATTTACTGTGTACTAGTAGACATTGAAGATATTATGGTGAATTAAAAATATAGTCCAGGAAGCACTTACTACATGGCAATGATTATAGTATTTTGTATGGCTTATTTAATCCTCACACCAGTAAGTAATATTACCCCTGTTTCACAGAAGCAGAAATTAACTTGCCGGATGTCACACAATAAGTGACAAATCCAAGGTCTCAAAGCAAGCAACTCTCTGCTCTGCTCCGGCAGTGGTGGGGACGTCTGGACCTGCCAAGGCATGGGGGGTGGGGAGGGGGGTTCACTCAATGTTTGATCCAAAACAGCAGGCTAATTTTTAAGTTGACAGTTTTGTATGGCCCGAGAATGATGTTATAAATATCCAAATAGCTCTTGGCAGAAAAAAAGGTTCCCCACCACTGCCGTATAGAAAAGCATGGAAAATCTATTTTATAGCCACCTTGCACTGATCAATAGGATTAAGAATTACATACAGAAGTGATCCTTATATGGTTTGTTGTAAATAATACCAATCATCAGTAATACCTTTGGTGAAATGGGATAACAAACTTTATACATAGTAGTATCTTTTCAGTGTTTGAGTGTTTTACAGTATTATTTTACAATTTAAAAAATAAAATGACTCATGAACAATATATTTTTTAGATTTGAGCTATCCTTTTACTCAAATATATTACCAATTATATTTTTCTGCACCTACTCTGAAGAGTTTCCATCCTGCAAGGATAACAGGTACACTGGTGCTCCTTAGCAGACACTACTTCCCACCCATAACTCACCTGGCAGCTAGCTGGCATCTTCAGCATTGTAACAGAGGTACTCTAAAATACTAGATCAGGCTCAGAAGTATGGGAGGAAGGAATCATGTTAAAGCATATAAAATAAAGTATGGCCAAAGAAATCATTCAAAAGAACAACTGTTTAGTTGCAATCCATCACAAAATACACTCTAGCAGGGAAAATACATGTTGAGGATAGACCAGGATAGGGGCTCGTTATTTTACCTCTTTTCCTCTCTGCTGTTCACTGTTACAAAGGAATGTTCCGAATAAACAGCTATACAGGTGGTCCAAAATGGTAATGAGAAAGTATTCATTGAATTCAAATGCTGTGGGAAACTGCAAATCAAACACCACAAACACAAAACTGTTAAAACATTTTTTTAAGCATATTCACCCTGTAGGTTATGAGTAGATCCTTTATAATATTTAAAAGTAGACTAAACAATACTCAAAATTATATTTCTAAGCCATTATAGCATTAGCCACTTGGTTTTCAGTTCAAAAATTACCACTTAAGTTTTAAGGTTGTTTCTCCCCAAAAATCTTTTTCTTAGGCAGTAAGAATTTGAATGGTCAGACCTTGAGATGTTTCTAATCTACATCTGCTAGCCCTACAGGCTGAGGAATTTTGACCTGGGCAATTCTGGCAACTCTACTCTTTCTCTGCCAAAAAATGACCATAAACAACATGGGAAGATTGTTCTTTAAATCTCAAAAACATTGTTTTGTTTTAGAAATTACAAAAAATATATAGCATCAATGTATCCAAAAAAGTCATCAATGCACACAAATAAGTGTCCCAGGCACTTATTTATCTTTTCACAGAACATCCAGGCAAACGGGAGTATCATGTAATCCAGTTCTTTGGCAGCCTCTTTCCAACTAAAGAAAATTCACTTTCTCCATAACCTAACGGTAGGGGCCTACTGGATGTCTTACACAGACCACTGGAAAGTAAAGGGTTTAGTTTAATCCATCCTGTCAATGTAATAGTTCAAAATTATTCCAATGTTTCCACATAAGACTGTACCAATTACACAACTGAAAAGGAATTCCATGAACATTTAGACTATAGAGTTGGGAAATAAACATTCATTCCAAGTTGGTTTTTTTAAGAATGATCCCTACCCAGTAGTGAAGGAAAATAGCATGAACTGTAAGCAAAAGCAGGGTAATATAGCAGATTTTTCAAAGGATGAATGGAAACTCCATGTTGTGGCTATGGAACTGAATGAATGCAGCAGGTGATCAAGCACATGCTAACAAAATTCCAAGTATTTTAAGAAACTTGGTCAAATCCCATTGATTTAGAAAATAAATGCCATCACCTGACTAATACTCAGCCTTATTTATTAGCCAACTACGCATGCACTCTGACTCATGAAATAGCATCCAGAAGAGCTGAGCTTGTGGATAGCTGTTATGAGAAGACATCTTAATCAGTGGGCATTTCCTCACAACAAAACAAATAGAGCATTAACTGCTGGCATTGCTTTTAAAATCTCTTGTTCTCCTTACATATTAAAAATCTCAAGGGCCCTTCATCCACTGCTTCCTGATCCCAGGAATGAAGGGATGAAGGTGCTGGTAGGAACAGAGGTAGAATCTGGCTAATTGCAACATAATCCTCATTTTGATGAATGTGCAAGTCTCTGTACAAACATGCAATTTTTTGTAAAATTGAAGATTACCAATAAATACCAACATTTTATGTTCAGGAAGAAAATGTACATAAAAATATAACTAGATGTCTAAAGAATCACTTTTTAATGTATTTTAGGTTCTATCTAAAAAACAAGATTAAACTGATTTTCTATTTTTTAGGACCTTAAGCTCAGCATTAAAGTAAAACTGCTTTTAGAGATATAGCATAGAGAAAGTTAACACAGCTACTAAGGAAGAAATGTACTAGTTTTGTTTGTTTTTGTAACAAGCATGCATACCAGAACTAATCTATTCACTTAGCCTGCCCCTTTAAGACAGTCCCCTTGGGAAGCAGCCCACAAAGGCATCAATGATGCCCTGGCTTCCCACAGCTTTCTCAGTCCTTTGATATGGCATTTGACTTTTGCTAACAGACAGACGCTATTTAGAAACTGAGTATGATAATGGTCAAAAATGGGTCCTGCCCTTGTGTGTTTGGCTCAGTAGATAGAAAGTCTGCCCTTGGACTGAAGGGTCCTGGGATTCCAATCAAGGGCACATACCTCAGTTGCAGGCTCCATTCCTGGCCCACTAGGGGGCGCATGTGGGAAGCAACCAATCAATGTGCCTCTGGCATCTATTTTTTTTTAAAGTGGGTCCTATTGTTTTTAGTCAAAACCCAAAAAAGGATTGGTAAGGATTTGTAGAGCTGATACACACCTCAAAGGCAATTTCAAAGGAAAATTTCACATCTGTTCCAAGAAGTAGTATACATTAAAGCATTTCCCCTCCCACAACATATGAGAATCTAATGCACAGAACAAAACTGAATTGTATACACATTTGTAGTATATGTGTGAAAATATCAGCCTCATCATACTGTAGTCATATTTAACCCAGCAAGTTTCCAAATAATCCACCCAAACTGAAATTGCTGGAGAGGGGGAGGGGGGGAGGCAAACTTTAGTGTAAACTATAATGGATGTATTTTTTTCCTAAGGATCACCACTTTCTTTAAATGAAATAAACAGTATTTTCTTGAAGCTAAAATGTGACCCTAAAGCATAGCAGAGCCAGCAGTTTCCCACCTTATATTCACGTGGGAATCTACCTAAAAACGAACCAGCCTCACAGCTGCCTGAGGTCTAATGAACCCCCGGGTGATAACTGACATACCAATGAGCGGTATCCAACTTTTGGGTTTTGAGATATTTTTCTTGAGTAGATTTAAATATTTTTATGATCCAAACAAACCATTGCCCCATTGGGAGGAGGTGATCCCATAATTAGCCAGATTTTTTTCTCTCTTGGACTATCTAAATATACCAAACCATTTACACTAAATTTCACATTTGTTTGTTAGAAAGTTGATAGAAGCTCTAAAAAAAAAAAAAACAATCTCTCCATACTCAAGAAAAAAAGAGAATCTATTATATATACCTTGCCATAATTTCCCACCCAACCCATTTTTCATTAAACTTACTTGACTGTTCCTTCATTTCTTTTACCTTTTTAACCATATGCAAATGAGCTTTTGGGTGAAGATACTGCCTTGGTGTTACTAATTACCTATAGAGGAGGAAACCTCTTGGGTTATTATGGAGCCACTCACTGAAATGCTAATGGGATCAAATTGTCAAGTGTTTAATACTACTCCCAAATAATATTCATTAGCTTAATTCACAATGTGACAATTAGGTGATAGTTATGCTATCTAGGAACCTTACAAGAATTCCAAATCTCCCAACTCCAACTGGAAGTCTTAAAAAAGAGATGTAAGAATGGATATATATGTTACCTGTCTTGTCATTTGCCAGACGCAGTCAATGAACTGAAGAAACACAGGAGATCTGTCTGCATCTGCATGATTCTTATCTCCATGCCCGAGTCTCTGAAAAAAGACGGTGAAATAGCACATAAACTTTGTGGAGTTTTTCATTTGTTAATGAAAATAATTTTCCAATAAAAATACTATTTTGTCATTATTTTTAAAAAGTCAGAAAATCTTTTTAAAAGAGCATAGCAAAGAAAATAGCAATCATCATCACCCTACTTATGAAATGTCTATTCAGTAGACTTGTGCACCTGAAATCTATATGGTTTGCTAACAAGTATCACCCCCAATAAATTCAATAAAAAGAAAACTTTTTTATGTGCAAACTGACATGTTTAACATGTGATGCTTTTAACAGGAATTACAACTTTGTTTAATGAATGAAACCTAGGCAGTCGAACCAACAACCTTTCAGTGCATAGGATGCCCAACTAGCTGAGCCACACTGGCCAGGGCACATGCCAAGGTAGTGGGCTCCATCCCTAGTAAAGGGGGGCGAGGGGGTGAGCAGCTAATCGATGTTCATTCTCACACCAACGCTTATTTCTCTCTAAATTATATATATACATATATATCCTATATAATAAAAAGCTAATATGCAAATCAGCTGGCGGAAACAGTCGCTATGATGCGCACTGACCACCAGGGGGCAGACGCTCAATGCAGGAGCTGCCCCCTGCTGGTAAGCATTGCTCAGCCAGAGCCTGGCTCATGGCTGGCAAACATAGGGGTGGTGGTGGGAGCCTCTCCTGCCTCCTCGACAGTGCTAAAGATGTCCAACTGATGGCTCCAGGCCTGTGAGAGGGTGCAGGCTGGGCTGAGGGACCCCTCCTCTGAGCGCACGAGTTTTGTTCACCAGGACTCGTGTGTGTGTGTGTGTGTGTGTGTGTGTGTGTGTGTGTGTTTGCGCGCGCGCGCGCTCTTAAAAAAACAAAACAAAACAAAAAACATGAAACCCAGACCTAAAAGGCTGAAAATGGAAGACTGGAGTAGTTGGACCTCAGAGCCCAGATTTTTGCTCTGGAGATCTAATTCCCCCCTGAATATTATGCTATTATATAAAGTACCCTTTTCCTTTAACACCTTGGCCAGTGCATGAAGGAGACCTGTTGCGTCTTAGCTCCAGTCTCTTTTATCAAGAAGAATCAACATTAGCACAAACCTTCATAAACCTTTAAAAATTGCTTGACTTCTGCCCTCCAAGCATGCACTTACCCAGGTTCTCAGTTTTTCTTCCTCTGTGCACTTTTGGCCCAGATGACTGAAACAGACCCCTGTTCCCTATCCTAAAGCCATTGATTCTAAAAATAGGGTCCCTAGACTTCTGGGGAGGGGGTGACTGTGAGGTCAAAAAACTAATTTCATAATTCCTAAAATGCCATCTGCCTTTTTCAACTCATTGACTTTTGCACTCACGGTGCAAAAGTGACAAAGGATCACTTAGGAGGAATCCAGCAAGGCAGTGAAATCAAGCTGCGCTGTGGTTACATTCTGTCCTGCCACACACTCGCACTTAAAGGGACAAAAGCCAATCTCTGCAGCAGATTCCTTGATGAAGCAGTAAAAAGTATTAACTTTATTAAATACATTTTTTTACTATTCTGTGTAACAAATGGGAAAGGCACATGAGGCGCTTCTGCTGCAAACTTAAGTAGGACGGTAGGAACTGACACTTTTTCACGGAACATGTTCTGACTTGAAAGAACAATTGATATGTGAACTGTGATTATGAAGACTTGACTCTTGCAGACTTTTTGAAAATGTACAAAGTGATTGTGTCACTTCTAGGAATACAATGGACAGTAGTTGCTGCCAATGATAAAATTCAAGCTTTTGAATTTTGAAAATTAGGTTTTTGGAAAACTTTTACCTGCCACATGAGCTTGATAATACTTAAAGACTTTCGATAAAATCAGTGGTGGTATTTACAGCTATAGTTTTATAGGATTATATAAAGAAATGCATTAACAATGGAAAAAGTATAGAGCTCAGCATTTTCCATATATCCGACACCTGATGGTACAAAATCCCATGTGGGTAAAAGATCTATTCAAAGTGTGATACAGACCAATAGAATCTAATGGAACACACAACAAAAACCTCATTTAGTTTTGCATTCCACATTACATTAACCTCTAAGAAACCACCTTTTAAGTTTTGGTACAATAAGAATTCCAACAATTCCCTTAAAAAGCTACTAAAAGACTACTTTTCAAACTATGTATCTCAGTGTGTGGTCAGATTCTTTCCTCATCTACTTCAACCAGCAAAGCATACTGCAGCAGAATGAAGGCAGAAGAAATTAGCTGCCTATAAAGCCAAATTTCAAGTTACCCCCCAAACATAAAACAGCCAAAGCCAGTGTTGCTCAGTGGATAGAGCTTCAGTCTGTGGACTGAAAGGTCCCAGGTTCGATTCCGGTCAAGGGCATGTACATTGGTTGCGGGCACATCCCCGGTAGGGGTTGTGCAGGAGGCAGCTGGTCGATGTTTCTTTCTCATCGACATTTCTAGCTCTCTATCTCTCTCCCTTCCTCTCTGTGGAAAATCAATAAAATATATTCAAAACATAAAACAATGCTTCTCATGAAAACTTTTTTGGTTTGGAAAATACATTTTTTCTTTAAAATATTATGTATGTTAATGTTTCCCAAAATTCATATTTTGAACTAATGTGATGGCATAGGAAGAAAAGTCTCTGGATGGAATCCTCATGGACGGGGTTAGTGCTCATATCAAAAAAGACCCCACAGTGCTCCCGAGCCCCCTTCCTGCATGTGAGGACACAGAAGATGACAATCTATAACCCAAAGGAGTGTCTTCACCAGAACCTCACCATGCTGTCACTCCGACCCTGAACTGTTAGCCCTCAAAATGGCCCTGGCCAATGTGTTCAATGGCTAGAGCATAGGCCTGTGCTCTGGAGGGTTGAGGGTTCAATTTCCAGTCAATGATACATACATGGGTTGCATGTTCGATCCCCCAGCCCTAGTTGGGGAACATGTGGAAGGCAATCTCTCACATTGATGTCTTTCTCCCCCACTTCCTCCCACTCTCTCAAAAAGAAGAAGAAAAAAAAAATCAATGGAAAAAATATCCTTGGATGAGGATTAACAAAACGCAAAAACAAAAAAACTGTGAGGAATAAATTTCTGTTGTTTATAAGCCACCCAGTCTATGGTATTATAACAGTCCAAATGGACTAAGACAAAATAGATTTCTTTAATTAGTATTCAACTTAATTTCTAATATTGTAAACACTGACAATATAAACCATGTAAGCAAATTTCTCTGGGGTCATCAATAATTGTCAAGAGTGAACGAGGTCTTGAAATCAAGTGTGAGAATCGCTGCCCTCTATTAACCATGTGTGAGCACAGCATCTTGACCAGGTGTCCTTTATTGGTCACATTCTGCTTTCACATAACACCTGGGGGAAATGGAGTAGCTAACCAGAGCTGACAATTTAGAAATCCATAGCCATTTCAAACATTCTGATATGTTTATGATTTTGGTCACATTTATATGAATGTGCAGCTCTGGCTAAAACTTCATTCATTGAAGAAAGTTTTATGTTTATTTTTAAATAGTTTTCTCATTTTATAGAGAATTGAAAAACATGAGCCATCTAAACAGATACTCCGGATGCCCAACTTCACAGCTCAAGTTCAAAAAAGCATTAAAGGTGTTTCTCTCAAGCAATTCATAAACAATGCTCACATACCCCAGAAACTACTGGATACTGAAGGTTAACATTAGAGACAGCACCTGGGTAGACATCTTTCACAAAGCCTTTCAGCTAATCTACAAAATTGCTGCCACAAGCCACACTCTCAGTGGTTTTATGGTCCCTGACACACTAACTCCTCGCCTGACCAAGATTCTCTAAACCTGACCCTCACTGCTACTCTTGCCACACTCAATTCTATCTAGACATGTGCTCACCCTGCTCCTCCTTTCTGTAAAATATTACTTCATACTCTCCAAATTCTATGATTGCAGCTAACACAAATAGACATTATGTAAGAACCAAGTTTTCTGATCCCAAATTTAGTGGTTAGCAGAAACTACTTGACTGGGTGTTTATGTAATAGCTACACAAATCCAAAGTGTGATGTAACAAAAAAGCAAATGTGAAGGGGACACAATAAACCCACTCCTATATTTAGGAACTGTGATCAGTTCTGGCTACCCACTTGCAGAAAGGTCCAGAGGACAACGAAGATGGAGGAGCTTAGGAAAAGTGAGGAAAGTGGATGGCTAGCCAGAACTGAAGACTATAAGTGACATGAGCTAACAGCTACTTCCTAATATTTGAGGCCTATGTTATATGAACAAGTAGGTACATTTGTTTTCTTATCTCCAAAGGGGAATGTAGAAACATTGAGAAGCAGATTTTAATTCCCTACGAGGAACAGGGTGGGAGCAGGTAGACTTTCCAAAGGGAGAGGGACAGCCTCGGGGGAGACCGCTGCTTTCTGCCTGCGTGTGAATGAAGACGCCGAGCGGGCACTGTGGGACACCACAGATTTCAACTGTTGGGCCCTGACTTCCTTCTGACTCTTAAATTTAATACCAACGATAACATAACATAATTTTGAGACTTACAGAAGACACAAAAATTTGCTATTTCCATAAAACTAACTGCAACACTTTACTGATTGTTAGGAAGAGAGAGATACATTAACTCGTTCCAATTATTTATTCATTCACTGGTTACTTGCTGTATGTGCTCTGGCCGAGGATCAAAGATGGAACCCCATATTGGGATGACGCTCTAACCAAATGAGCTACTTGGCCAGAGCTGCAACACTGGCCAAGGGTTTAGTGCCTTAAAGAGGATAACAAAGTTGTTTTATTCCCAACTCTGAGTTACATTTTACTTTTTTTCTTTCAGGCCCAGTTTTTTTAGACCATGATCCTGTGTGAGCAATGCTACTTTGTAGGGCTACTTTAAATTGGGAATAATAATTCAGCCATTCTATTCTTTTTTTTAAGTCTACAGGAAAAGCTCTAAGTGTCTTGTAATTCCACACCATTCTTGCTAATCTGAACTATCAACTGCAGGTGGACAGGACTCGCCCATGGGAATGGTGGGATGAGCATGGCGTTTCCTGGTAGAGATCACAGAAGACACTGGGTCAGGCGCCTGGCAAATAGCTAGCCCTGCCTCCAGGCTGCAAAGCTGGAGACGCTAATGCTTTCCAAAACAAAAAAAGTTCTCCTGAGAAGTTTACCCCTCTAGAATAAATGATCAATTCTAGATGAATATGGGATGAATAGAAGGCATTATTTTCACGCCTGATGTGGGATGCATGGAATACATTTGAGTCAAGGTTGTTTACTCACAAGCTGAAATCGATGTCCAAAGCTCAGCCATTCTTTCTCCACGAGGACTTCGAACCCGCGGATGGTCCGGTAGTGCCCGTCCAGCATGAGCATGGCCAGCGACGTCAGCTGGGCGGTGCGGTCCCAACCATCGCTGCAGTGCACCACCACCGACGTCTTCCCGGATTCCACTCTGTCAGCAATGCGGAGCGCGCCGGCAAGAATGAGCTGCAAAACAGTTGTTTTTTTTAAAACAAAAAATTTTTAAATGCTTCCTTCTTTAAAATTAATAGTTTTTGCCAGGGATGAATGTCTCAGTAACATATGAGGGGGTTCTGGCAGAACTGTCACTTTGTATGTGCCATTTGGGAAAGCCTGTTTGGGAAGGTGACATTTGAGCAAGGATCTGAGAAAGAGAGAGACTAAGCCTTGCAGGTGTGAGGACTGGGGAGGAGAAGGCGGTGCAGGCACAAGTGCCCCTCTTGTGCCTCTAAGGAAACTTGTTTCTGGTATAGCCAGCCTTTCGGAGAGAATGTTGCACCTGCTATGAAATGGAATTTAGAGTGAAAGAGAGGCTTTATGTTAGCTCTAAATCAATCTGTGGGTTTCTACTTACAAATCATGCAACAAATAGGTGAGCCACTAAAGCTTCTAGAAGACAAGCAATAAAAAAAAATAGTCTACAATTCTCATAAATTGGCCTTCTCTGCAGTTTGTCTGAATTTTAGAGATTTTGATATAAGATTGCTCCTTATTAATATGAAAAATCTCGTTTCCCTTTATATCATAATATTAATAATATATGAGGCTATAAAAATATTTTAATAAGCTATGTTACTGAAATTCAGACCATATCTGAAATAAATACATAACTCTATTAAATAAAATAACATTTGATGCTTCACACATTATCTTAACATGGTAGACAAATCAGCATTCACATGGTAGTCTCCAAATAACTGATCCTTCGCTCAGCTTCTTCACCTCACTCCTCTGACCAGCATGATCAACACTTCACAAGCCGCCCAACAAGCATTTCCCGTGCCTGCTGCTCAGATAGCGCAGCCCTAGCTCCTGATGGGAAAGAAATATGATCACGATCTGTCCAGCTCTGATCTCCACTGAGCTGACATCCAAAAGTGATTAAATGAAGTATGAGGGAGGACTAATTGAACAGAAAAAGTAAAGTGAAAACTTCAGACAAACTGGAAACTGCAATCTGGTAAGACTTCCAGAATAAGTGAGGCAGAATAAGTGAGGACCTGAAGGATGGGGAGAATTCAGACAAGACAGGAAAGAGAAAAAGAAGTTCAACAGACCAAATGCACAATATGGAAAACTAATTCATTCAAGCACCAAAACTTAGAAGTAATTCAATCATCAAAGCAGCTATTAACTTTTCCCTGTTTAGCAGGGTATCTTTGTCTTGATCTCGGCAGTAAGAGCCAATGCAGGTACAGGGATAGAGCAAGTGCGGGTTTGGCACTCTTTCTGTAACAATATAGGAAACAGCCCACCTTAATATGCTCCAGCCAATGAGTAGATTCCAAGTTAGACAGCCAGTGGGTCTCCTCGATGTTGGGGTACACGATCTCCTTGAGTTTTCGTAAGGATTCTCTCATAACATGAATATTGTGGATATCTAGAAAAACTAATTCTGCATTCTGATAGGCATCTTCACTTTCATAACCTCCACCCTTGGCCTGGAAACAAAGCACACACCACAAGAAATAAAAAATGAACGTACATCCGTAATATGTTGACACCCATGAATAAGTGCCATAAAATATCCAATAGCATAAAAGAGAATACTTACTACTGATGAAAAGGACACCTCACGGGAAAATATGGACAATGCAGGGCTGCTTAACATCACTACTCTCTTTAAAAACAATATACACTCTCACCCTGACTTCCTATGTGGCTGTTATAAAAATTAAAAGCGATAACGTATGTGAAGATGCTTACACATTTTAAAGCACTAAATTTACCTATCCGTATTTCCATTTCTGTGCAAAAAACTTCTTACAGAAGACTGAAATCACCAGACTAGTAAGTTCCACGTGCAGGAAATACATGTCTACTTTACTACTGGCCCATGCTGCTTCACCTCATTTTAATCTAATATTCACAAAATACTTTGCAATCTTAAGGACTTGCTTTTATTTTAGCCACATAATTATTTTTAAGTAAAAAGGCAGAATAAGTATAAAAGCACAAATACTATAGTGCAATAGTATCCCTATTCTCAGAGACTTAAATCTACATCTACAGAACAGATGTGAAATATCTGGTGTTTGAATTAAACTATGGCTGAAAAGGGGAATAATTTTTTTGGATTAATCTTTCTCTATTTTATAAATAAAATAATTCATCTATCGATATCTCTTACTTATCTTAGGTGTAAAAATCACACTTTAGAGCACTAATGAGGAAAAACTGAAAAAATAATGGAACAGTCACTGCAATTATATACATGTCTCTCTCATGTTGAGGTTTCTCTTCTCCACCTCACCCCCCGCCTTCTCTTCCTCTCTTCCAATCTCTTAAATAAAAAAATAAAAAAATCAACAGAAAAAAAATATTCTCTGGTGAGAATTAACTAAGAAACAAAGTAAATAAATAAATAAAAGGCTGAGGCAAAGGGAAGGTTATAAATTAAGGGATACTTAAAAGACATATCAAATGCAATATTTAAAAAGGTAAAGGCTAACCTACATACAGTATCTAGGGTATGTACACTGCTATAATAAAAGTATAAAGAAATGCAAGAAGATGGTATTAAGTGAATCTGATTGGGGTAGGGCAGCCGTCGCCGACCTTTCAGACCAAGCAGACCACGGGTTAACAACCGCTGCTTGGTCCCCTTAAACCAGTGGTTGCCAACCTTTTGGACTACCAGTTGGCAGCTGCTGGTGTAGGGCATACATGAGAGACATAGTGGCTGACAAGGTGGCTTTTTGTTTGTTTGTTAATCCTCACCTGAGGATATTTTTTCCATTGATTTTTAGAGACAGTGGAAGGGACGGAGACAGAGAGAGAGAGAAACATTAGTCCTCCTGCATGTCCCCCTCAGGGATCAAGCCTGCAACCAACGCATGTGCCCAGACAGAGAACTGCACCCTGAGCTCCTGGTTCCTAGGTCATGCTCAGCCACTGAGCCATACCAGTCGGGCCCAGCAAACCATTAATTCTTTACATGGGCAAGAACATTTGTCATATTCATATCAATTGTAAAATTTTTCTTACCTATGCAGGCAAAAAAAGTATTTGTTCTAACAAGGTTATATACTTTTTGCAAATTAAAAAAGAGGGATAAGTGGGGGATTTTAGTGAAGGTGGTCAAAAGGTACAAACTTCTGGTTATAAGATTAATAAGTTTTGGAGATCTAACATACAGCATAGTGATTACAGTCAATACTTCACAGTATATGTGAAAGTTGCTAAGAGAGTAGACCTTAAAAGTTCTCATCATAAGGAAAAATAAAGTTGTAACTATGTGAGGTGATGAATGTTAAACTGGAATTACTGTGATAATCATTTCATAATATATACATATATGAAATCATTACATTGTATACCTTAAACTTATTCAGTGTTAAATGTCAATTATATCTCAACACTAGAGGCCCAGTGCACGAAAAATCGTGTACTCAAGGGGTCCCTCTTTACCCAGCTTGCGCCCTCTGGCATCTAGGACCTTTTGGGGGATGTCCACCTGCTGGCTTAGGCCTGCTCCCCAGAGGGCCAGGCCTAAGCTGGCAGTCAGACATCTCTCTGGCAGCCCGAGAGCCCTCAGTGGATGTCCGACTGAGCTGCAGTTAGACATCCTTAGCACTGCCAAGGAGGTGGGAGGCTCCCGCCAGCACCACTGTGCCCGGCTTGTGGTAGAGCGGAGTTTCCTCTGTGGGAGCGCACTGACCACCAGGGGGCAGCTCCTGCGTTGAGCATCTGCTCCCTGGTGGTCAGTATACATCATAGTGACTGGTCATTCCATCATTAGGGTCAATTTTAATATTACCCTTTTATTATATATTATAGGATAGTGAGGAGCAGGGGAGACACCAAATTAGTAACCTGAATCAACCATTCTGAAGAATATTTGCAATATGAATCAAAAGGTTAAAAAAAAATGCACATTTTAAATTTTAATATAGTAAAGGTATATCTAGTAAACTATTTTAAGGAAATAATCAAAGATGCCAACAAAAGATATCTATTTCAGCTATATTTAAAATACTAAATACTTAAATGTCCAATAGTAGAAGAATGATACACCTATACTATGAATACTGTTATTTTATAGGAATATTTCACGAAAAGAAATTATTCTTATAATAAAATAGTAATAGAAAAAACAATGAAACAAAATAACCAACACTTCAATGCATAGAAAAAACAGTGGAGGAAAATATAAAACATCTTAATGACTATATGTGATTTTACCTTTTCTATGCATTCCTAATTTTTTATACTGTCTACTTCATATTCTGTAATGTAATAAATGAAATAATGTTACAAACGTTTACTGACATAGAAAGATAGTGTCAATTTTTTTAAGTTACCATTATCCCATTCTGTTTCAAATATATGAGTGTATGCATATATATTATAGAAGCACAATTTAGTTATGGTTCTCTCCTAGTTACAAAATTAAGGGTGGCTTTAAGTATTTTCTTTTCCTTTTTTTTGCCCATTTGCACTAGGTAATTTTCTGTAGTACATATACATTGCTTATTGGGGATTAAAAAAGAGAGGTACCTTTTTAAAACTAAGTTATATCTCTTCTCTCACCTTTTCCTATGGTAGATTTATTAGTCAACCAGACTTTCTATTTCCACAATGCAAATATTTATTCCATAGCAGCACTCAGGACGACTGCTCCAGCTAACTGAAGTCTTCAGTGTGAACAGCTTGTACAGGTGCAGGGCTGTCAGGAGAGGGCACCGCTGGTCATTAAGAACACTGCTTCCTGATTCCTACAGCCGTGCTCGGGCATAAACTCAGGTGTCATTTGGAGGATGGAGAAAGAATAATAATTCTTCCTGAACACCTATCTTTATGTAAGCACAGGGTTCTGCACTATTTTTTACTACATACATCCTGTTAGCTATTATTACTCTTATTTTACAAATGAACAATCACGGTCTAAAATGATTAAATAATGAACTCAAAGTCATACCACAGCAAGGATAGCCAGAATTAGAATCTCTCTCTTTATCACTGGAAAGCCTGAACTCTTTCTGCTGCATTGTGGCTTCTGCCAAACTGAGCTGATTCATGAAACTATAATATTAATTACTGAAAAGTAATCTCACCTTATTGGCAACAGCATTAACACTTGGCCGGGCATCGAATATAAAGATTTTATGAGACTGGGCATTGGAGTCCATGATGGCTTGAAGGTATTTCTCATCTTCTTTACTTCGCTTCCCACTCACTCCTACCATGGGCTGGCTGCATCGAGTGATTGTGGCCTGACTTTCTGGATGAATCCAGGATAAAACCTAAATGGGGGGGGGGGGAATGGCAACACACCCTTTATATATTTATTTTTTTGTAATTCTCCTAAAAAAAATTACTCTATAAAACTCTGCTTTTTAATTGAGTCCAAACCCTAGCCATGGTAAGATATATTGGAGCTGCTATCAAATATCATCACTTTTCTTTCAAACCAACTCTAGGATATGGAAAACTTGGTCTAATACCTTTATCAGATATTAATTTATAAAAGTCATTGATTATTGGGAAGTGTTATCTCTAGAAAACCTACTTTAAAAAGGGGCTAAGTCCCACTTTTAAAGTTTTATTACTATATCAGCAAAACTGCCCACCTAGAAAGTCTTTCAAATCTATGAATTTTGTACTTAAAATTATTTAAGCTGGTCTTTCTAGAACACAGTAATTCATCAAGATTTTGTAAAGTTTTCTTGTTTCTAGGATTTAAAGGAAAAGAGCATTTATCACCAAGAATGTACAACAAAATAGTGAAAATACAAAGAACCAACTTTGTTTTCAAGTTAAGAATATGCAATTCTGTGCACCTAATAGCCATGTCACATTCTTCAGACACTTCTTTAATCAGCCTTTCCCCCAGTTTTAGTTTTATTAAATAATTCATTCTCTAATATCACCATAAACACCTTCGGCTGTAGCTATTTTTATCCTGCATCCATTCTCCAAGTCCTTAATCTCAGTACAAAAGCATGTGCAAAGTCTCATCACAGCTTCACACTCACTGGGATTCGGCCCCTTGATCTGAAGGTTGCCACTCTCTTTAATTCTTCATCAGGAATATTTGCTGGCACAGCCAAGAGGGCAGGATATGTATCACAAAGTTCATATCGTTCATTTATCTTTGTTATTCTCCAGCTTTCATTTGGAATTCCCTATATGTAAAAAAAAAATAAGACAAATTAATGTCTAACTAAAATTTAAGACATAAAAACTGAAGCCATACTATTCAACCTCTCTCATCTCCACGGTCCAGCTCTTAAATTGTTGGAATAATTATGTTCTGCCTGTGGCGACCAGCCTATTAGATTGAGAGAATCTAACAGTGATATGCATTCTTTTTTACTTTTGATTTTATGTTAATAGGTTAAGCACTGATTGTGTGCTGGGTATGTGCTAAGCATATCCAATGGGAAGGAAGGAAATGGTGGGACTGCAAATAGTCCCTGTCTTCAAACAGGACATTATCATTTAATTTCACTGGGTGATAGATTTTACTGTCATTTATCTATACAAAAAAAATCTGAGAGGGAAGGCACCAAGTGTCCACAAAATGCTATATATACATTTACCACTTACATACGAAAGTGAGGTTTTCACTCCTATATTATAGTACTAATGGAATATTTCTATCTAAAACATATTAGAAAAGCAAGGAAGTAACAGAAGGCAAAGCCAAAAAGAGACAAGCAAAATATTTGTAAAATTTTTTAAATATACATTATTAAGCTCTCATTGGGTCCTTCAATATTTAAAAAAAAAATTATATATATATATATATATATAAACTAGGGTACTACTTCACATACAGGACTGCTTATTAAGACCTTAAATTTTTTCATCCTCCATTCTACAGAAAATAAAGCCTTTATATTAAATGGTTAGATTTAAAAAATATATATTTTTAAAATTTTATTACATCTGACAACTCATATTATCAGAGAAGAAGAATTAAAAGAAACCAAATTATAGTAAAAATATTTTTATGAGCACCTACTATGTGCAGGCACTATGCCAGCAGCCTCTTTACACACACACACACACACACACACACACACACACACACACAATAGAAAAGGCATAGAAAATGTGCAGAGAATGCTATCATCTGCTTAAAAATATAATATACATATATATACACAAGCTCTGCAGGCATAAAATCTCTCAGTGGACATAGGGAGAACTAGTAACAATATTTCCTGAAGGGAGAGGAACTGAGATGGCAAGGGGATAAGGTTGGCCTAGTAGGTAACCAACCTACATTTCAATATACCCTTTTGTACCTTTTGAATTTTATAGTGTGCAAGAATTACCACTTTCAATATTTTTCAATTAAAAAAAAAGAATACTCTGATGCTTTATGTCTAATCTTAAGGTTTATATTAAGAGATCACTACCTTCATTTTCTTCTATAACTTACAGAAAATATTGAAAAAACTGAGCCTTCTAATTACAAATACAGTGGCTTTTCCATTAGACTTTAGCTTGCTTTCTCATAGACAAATTGTCTGACTTTAGAAAAATATTCAACAAATTCATCTAATAAGTCAAAAACCATAAGCATGTATTTAATGCAGAGTTCAATGCTCTCTTCTGACTTTCATGTTTCCTAATCTCATAATTCTCTTTATGGGAATAGTTTGTTTACTCTTTATTTTTTCTTTTTAATAATAATTTATTTCTTTTCTTGGACACAGTTATTCTCATCTGCTTTCCAAAGTTCGATGTTGAATGCTACAATAACAGATAGCAATTTCTGCCCAGATTCCCAAATAATATTTTTACAATTATAAAGACATTTGTGAGATTTGCTGGTTGCTTTCCAAGATTTGGGTTAGCAAAAATCTTAGAATGGCCTGGTTTAGTTGACCCACTTATTTTGTATCCTGCTTCATATTTGTCAGCAGATGGTTTTATAAGTGAAAGAGGAATTTTAAATTATACGTGTCACACGTGATTAAATGAGAAGTTTTATAATTAAAATGCAATGTTTGGAATCTAAATACGAAAATCACAGCTTAATGATTTTCAAACCTGAATTCTAGAATAATTTGAATATCAAATCTAATGATTACCAAAAAGCAATCAATGTGTCTGCACTTAAATTCTCAAGATAGTACCATGAACATGTGGAAAGGTGAAAATAAAGACTATTTTAGATACTGTTTATTTATTTTTTAAATTTTTATTGTTTAAAGACTTACAAATAGTAGTGCATATTTCTCCTTCCTCTCCCCTCCCCCACCCCCCAATTGGCTGACCTTCCCCAGGCCTCCCCTATGCGCCCGGCACATGCTGCGAGCAGGACCTCGTTGGGAAGTGGTGTACTGAGGAAAAGCAGGGAGAATGACACATTCACTGTAACGCTGATTTCAAGACTGGATTCAGCTATCTCTCTTATTGTGGTAATGAAATCACACTGATAAGCATTCAAATATGAAACCAACCCACCTTAGTCATGATACCAGATTTGATTTGTTAACATTTTATGTAAATGTGTAGCCTAGGTGAATATGTAAAATTTTCATAGTTTTATGTGGCACTACATTATAAACAGAACTATTTGAAATGTTTTCAGAATTAAATTACAGCATACACAAAAAGAAGAAAATTGAGTAAATAATGTTTAATGATGTAAGACATTAAAATTTAATGTATTTACCATTTAATTTAATTTTTAAAACTATTAAATATTTTTTAAAATAAACTGATTTACCTGTAAACTCTTAGACAAGTAAAGATTCATTAAAAAATCACTGGCACAGTCTAGAAAGCAGTTTAAGGTAACTGAAAGACAGCACTAAAAGCAGGATTAGCCTTTATTTAAAAAACAAAAAAACACCACACAACTATATATATATCTGTTTACTTCTTCCCATAAAATGTTGTAATAAAAAGAATATAATATAGTAGATAAAAAGAATATAGTATAGTAAAATTAAAAGAAAAAATACATACCTGCCTTCTATATTCTAAAAGAGGGTCATATAGTTTCCACCCATTTTCAGAAAATACTTCTTTGTATTCAAAAGCAAAAAGAGGCTACAAAAAAAGCAATCAGAGTTAAGAGCTAAAAAGACAGTTAAGAAGATAATGAATCAGAAATATATCCTCATCAAATCCAATATTTCCATTTATTTCTCTGCCAGGATATTTTGTATTGGTGTCCTTTTTTTATATTGATCTTTTAGCTTTGTTTTAAAATTTTGTAAACGTATTGTTTTTTCATATTTTTCCAACATATAGAAAAACACAGGTCAACCACCGAGATTTATTAAATGTTAACATTTCACCATAATTCCTTCAGATATCAAAAGCAGCTGTTTTAGGTTTACCTCTAAAAAAAATGACATTTCATAAAAAGTGTGTCTTCTGATATAATTAATTAGTCTGACATCACAGATATATCCTTTGAGGAAAAACATAGAAAAACTGGAGTTACTAGTTCCAAATTTTACTCCCTACTAGCTATTCCCTTGAGTTAATTATTTACCTGCCCCTGGTTTCAACTTTAAAGTCAGGATAAATAATATTGACCATAGGGCTACTCTGGAAGTTAAACTATCCTATATAATAAAACCCTAATATGCAAATTGACCGAACGGCAGAATGACCGGTCACTATGATATGCACTGACCACCAGGGGGCATATGCTCAATGCAGGAGCTGCACCCAGTCAGGGGGGTGAGGGTGGGGGGTCCTGCTCCTGCAATTAGTATCTGCCCCCCCAACCCACTCCAGAGGGAGGTGACCGGTGGTGGCGATCAAGGGGCAGGGCTGGCTAGCGGGTGACACCAGGCCACCAGCCAAGGCAGGTTCCAGCTGGGCCCTCAGACTGTCCCACCCACCTGTTAACCCACAGATGGCCCTGCTCACGGGCCAGGCCTACGGACTCTGCCCTATATATTGGGAAGTCTCTTAAATTTAAAAATTAAAACCTGGCAAGGCTAGTCTAACACTGAAAAAAAAGAGGATGATGCAGCAATGACATGCATGGACTCTGGCGTGCACATTTTTGTGATCAGCCCTGATTCTGACACTTATAACTGTATACAAAGCCAATTACTTAACTTCTCTCTGCTTCAGTTTTTCCACCCGTAAGATGGGGAAAATGCTACTACTGCCTCAGAAGAATCATGTTATGTACTACTTTTTATAATTAGGGCAAAAAAAAATGTACCTGCCCATACAACAGCAAGATGCCTTTCACCTGTATGAAAAGTATGGTCACTGGAGCATGCAGAGTCCTGGATTGCAAGAGGGATGTCCGACTGCTGGTTTAGGCCGGATATCCCCCGAGGGGTCCCAGATTACAAGAGGACGCAGGCAGGGCTAAGGGACCTCCTCCCCCAACCCCCTTACATGAATTTTGTGCACCAGGCCTTTAGCGTAACATAAACGAGGAAGCCTAACACTGTTAAAAGCACATTGTAAGGGACTCAGTTAAGTATCTTTCTTAAAGTTGCTAAACTGTCAGCTCTCAATTAAAAAGATTTCAAACCCAAAGAAAGACTATATACTGCTCTTCATTATGGATACACTCTGGAAAGATCATATAATTATTGAATGTCAGTACACAAGAATGGATGCTGGAAATCAGCTAGTCCAGCTTCCTCATTTTATACTAAAAATTTTTCTAAGAGATCATGTTAAAACCTTACACCCATCTAGTTGAATGGCAAAGCAGGATCATAAATGTAGATTCTATTATAGATAGCCTAGACAAATTTCTTTACACTACATAAGTAATGATAATACAGTTTTTCCAAAGATAAGAAATATCTTACCAGATTATTAGAGACAGGAAATGCATATTTCATGAGATTCTCAAATATGGATCTTCTTGTCCGCCCTTCAGGTTTATGAGCAAACCGTAAATTTCGAATATCCTAAAAAAGATTTAGGCTTCAAGTCATCTTTCATTGTTTGTTCACTTTTTATTTAATGAACAGATTAGGTAACCTGGAACTATCTTATAAAATGTTAAGATCTGGCTGGGTAGTTCAGTTGGTTAGAGCATCGTCCCAATACCCCAAGATTGCGGGTTCCATCCCCTGTCAGGGCTCATACAAAAAGCAACCACTGAATACATGAGTGGGTGGAACAACAAATCAATGTTTGTCTTTTTCTCTCCAAAATAATTTTTTTTTTAATCCTCACGAGGATATTTTTCCCACTGATTTTTTTAAAGAAAGTGAAAAGAAGGAAAGAGGGGTGAGAAAGAGGGGGAGAGAGAGGAGGAGAGGAAGGGGGAGGGGGAGAGAAAATACTGATTTGACAGAAATACATGAATTTGGACACCTCCCCCACCTTCCCTTGAATGGGAACTGAACTCGTAACCCTTTGGTCCTTGAACCAGTATTCTAACCATTGAACAAATGGGCCAGGGCCAAAATCAATTTTCTTAAAAAAGTACAAGAAAGGAAGAAGAAAGAAGGAGGAGGAAGGAGGAGGAAGGAAGAGGAAGAAGGAGGAGGAAGGAGGAGAAGGGAGGAAAAGGAGGAGGAGGGGAAGAAGGAGGGGGAGGGGGAGGGCTCAAGATCTGTGAATGTGGGGTACAAAAATAACTCAGACATCTTCTGAAGGCAGGGGAATTACATTTTACTCAGAGTACAGAGGACAGAGAATTTACCACTGCTTATGGACTCAAGATAGATCCATGAAAGTGACACTGGAGATTAGAGATACTGTATCTGAAGTATCATGTTCTCCACTTTCTAAGTCTCCTGCTACTGGACTGCTAGAACCAAACTCTGCCTAAACGTCTTCCTCCACTTCATGTCCAAGTCCTTCAACCATCTACTGGCAGATCAACTCTGAACAGTTTGGTTGGTATCATCAGGACACTTCAGTCAGATATAAAGACCAAGATTCCCTCACATTATTTGTCTTCAATTCATTTTCTTTTTCTTTTTTATTTCTTAATTTGAGACAGAGATAGAAACATCAATTTGTTGTTCCACTTGTTTATGCATCATTGGTTGCTTCTTGTATGTACCCTCACTGGGAATCAAACCTGCAACCTCGGTGTATCGACATATTGGCACGATGCTCTACCTAACTGAGCTACCTCAGTTAGTAAAAAATTCGGGATTAAGAAAAATTTCAAGACTTCACCTTACTTAAGTGTTTTAATCTAGGCATAACTCAAAATAGCTTTAATATACCAAAAACAGACGTCACACTACAATGTACATAAAAAAAAAACACATTTTATTACAAATCTGAGCTAAGACTAGAATGTTAGTCCTGCCGTCCTATAAAACAAATATGTGCAGGAAGCTAAGCTGATAGCTTGTTTTCCCTCAGTAAGTACCTTTACAACAGTAGAGATGTTCGTAAGCATCTGTTAAGCACAGAACACTCTCTAACTACCCTAGCAGAAGCTCCACAAATGTCTGGGCTTGTTAATGGTCTTGTCCATGAAAAAAAATCGCACTTGAAATTATCAAGATTTCAGCCACCTTCTTTCATCTTCTCTTGGCGTCTATGTTCTATTTACTATCACACTCCAGAAAAGTGATCAGGAGACAGTGTGCTTGACACAGTTATTACATTCCTAGAGCCATTCTGACTACAATGGAAAAGCAAAAACAAAATTACTAAGTCATTGGCTTTAATGATAGATTCATAAACTGCTAAGATTAGCATACAAAAGAATCTTAAAAGGTATGCATGTACTGTTGCTTTTACTTTTGGCATAGGCAGACCAGAAAAAAAGAACTGAGATGTGCACCGATTAGGTGTGGCCTGCAAAGTGTATATGGTATTAAATATCTGTGACTGAACACGAAAACTGTAACAATCTAAATTTAGTTCAAGTATCAGTGCATTTAAAGAATGCAAGTTTGATACAAAAACAGGAAAGGTCTTTAATATCAAGCTTTCCCCACCACTGTTTCAGAAGCAGATTCACAAATTATGAAAACTGGAAAAAAGAAAAATTGTTGATGATGAATATATCATAACCAGTTCTTCAACTACAAAGTGCCATATCCTCACTGCTCAGATCCTTGTGTTTCTAATATATAAGGTAAAGGTAATAATGTCTATCATGCCTATCTCAAGATTTTTATGAGGCTCAACATGAAATAATTAATGTTAAAGTACATTTTATTGGGTCCAAAAGAATGCAAGTCTAATTCATGATAGAGCAGCTTTTTATGATTCTTAAATGTTGTTTTCCTCTACAAGAATGGCATTTCCAGGTACAAATCCATTAGATATTTGGTAACTAGTTTCTAAAGATAGGTCCTAATTAATATAAAGTTTTTCATATTAAATATCACTGAATACATATTATGAAATTTACCTTGCACACAATTTCTAATCCATAAGAATTTTCACCTCGACTGGAAGCACCACCAATTTTTTCTACTCTACTTATCACACCAAGAGAAGCATCTAAAACAAATGGAGGGTCCTAAAAAGAAGGAAAGAGAAAAACAAAACTGAGCAATGAATATTGTATAATTATAGCTGAGAAAAATTTTAATGGGTAACGCTTTAATTAAAAATTATTGAAAATTAAAACTGTCTGCAAACAATACAGAAATCCTATCTAATAAAAAGGGAATATGCAAATTGACCGTCAGACCATCACAAAGCCAGCAGCACCCAGTCCCCTCAGCCCTGCTGGAGTCCCACAGTCCTTTCAGCCCAGCATGGGAGAGAGAGGGAGGCATGGCAGGCACATGGTGCTGCCAGACCCGCCCTCAGTCCCACAGCTGCCCAGGGCCAGTCCGAGGCGCAGGTAACCAGGACCAGCCAAAGTTTGTGCTGCCAGCAGTGGCAGCAGCAGAGGTGTGATGGAGGCATTGCCTTCCCGGATCGCCAGGTCGCCTCCCATTCCTGAGGGCTCCTGAACTGTGAGAGGGGCAGGCCGAGCTGAGGGACACCCCCCTCCAGTGCATGAATTTTCATGCACCTGGCCTCCAGTGTACACATAAAAATCCAACCCAATAAGACTTACCCGTTCCATGCTTTTGAAATATAACCTGTAATTTGTGACAGTCAGAGTTCCTCGTACAGCACCAGTGAATGGACATATATAAGTTACATCTTTGGCTGAAAAGGCAAAGGGTCCACAATTTACTATGCAGTATGCACTATTAAAAACTATACTCTCATCTTTTCACAAATGAAATTTAATAGAATTCTGACTGCTACTCTAACTCACACTCAAAAATCACATAACCAATGATTCAAAATAAACACAGAATCCAAATCCAAGCTTCCAAACATGCAATAATTGGGGGAAGAAATTGAAAATAAATGTGAAGGACTTGAAGAGGCAGAGGGATTTCCCTTACTCTGAGACAAAACAGAAGGAAACAGAGAAGCCACTACCCCTGTTGGATAAGACAGAGGTGGTAGCTGGAGCAGTGGGTGAAGGGGTGGTGGTAATGGTGGTTAACAGTAAATGTCTCATGTCTAAGACATTGATCATCTTATCATAGTTTCAACATCACTTCGCCAATCTGCTGGTCTTCTGGCCACAGTCTAGTCTGTCAACATACCTCTAAAAATACAATAGCTGAAACATATTATATCAAAAATTTCTGACCTGGTATTTATGGGGAAGGAGTGCATATGAATTATAATCTCTTAGAAAAAATAAACTTAATAAGAGGATATTATATTCCTGACCAAGCAACTGATGTCCAACTCTGTGGAGCAATAATCATAAGCAAAGCTTTATTAAATGATATATGACAAATCTATACAGCATTGGGCTTTTAAAAGCATGTATTACTTAACTCAGCTACCAACTAATACCTCAAAATAATATTTAATAGGTAAAATTCATAATGCCCAATACAAAGGGTTTTTTTATTTTATTTCTTAAAATATTCATAAATCCCTGCAATGTCATTATTGTAGCAAATCGGCAAATAAAGAAATATCCTAACTGTGCCAAGGAAGTAGGGCACAACAATTAGGAGGAACAAATTCCTAAAGACCTCTCAAGGGGTTTCTGGGAAAATGTAGAGACATGAAATGCATTTAATAAAGTATTGCAACTTCCTGACTTTGCTTTTTAGTTATTATTGTGAAGAAATGACTACTTTCTATGGAATTTGAAATGAGATTGATCTTTTTGTTCTTTTTAAACTTTATTGTTGAAAATATAACAAATATCCCTCCTTTTCCCCCCCATTAATCCCTTCCACTTCACAGCCACCCCTTCCCAGGCTTCCCTGCACTATTGTTTGTCAATGGGCTATACATATATACATTTAAGTTCTTTAATCTCTTTCCATCCCCTTCTGAAATATGTTAGTCTGTTGCATGTTTCAATGTCTCAGAATCTGTTTTGTTCATCAATTTATTTTCTTCACTTGATTCCACATATAAGTGATATTTGATGCTTATCTTTCTCTTTTGTTCTCCAGGTCCCTGCATGCTGTCTCAAAGAGTAAGTGTGAGGTTTTTAGATGACTGGACATGAAGAGAGTCAAGATATGAGCATAACCAATGGACAGAGATGGGGGGAGGAGGAGAGGAAGACATTTCCTGGGGTTGGGGGTGACCAGGGAGAGGTCAATGAGGGAAAAAGAAGACTTATGAAAGCATTAAACAATAAAAAATTTAAATTTTTAAAAAAATGTAAATGCCTGTGTGTTATAGGTCCTCTCTCTCTCTGCATTTGTCTACTCAGCTCAGGATCAAGAGACTGATCTTCTAACAAACATTTCTAACATTTCAAAACAGTCCCTTTGGGAATATTCAAGTTTGAGCAATATTTTTAAAATCACTGTTTCCAATGCATGTTGCACTTAGAGGAAAACTTTTAAAATTAAACCTGTCATTATAGAAAGGTACACAAACTTGCCTTCAATACATTTTCTTAACTTTATGAATTTTTACCTTAACTACGAAAGCTTTATTCGTATTATTAAAATTATTTCTGGATTCTCTGCAGAACCATTATCTTACACAAGTAAATCAACCTTATTATTCTATAGTCCTGTACAGAATATTTCTCTCCTTGTCGTATGTTTCTGTTACACTTGCCCCTTTATTGTAAAACTAGAGGTCTGGTGCACAAAATCATTGCACTCGAAGGGGGGGTGGCCCTCAGTCCAATCTGTGCCCTCTCAGTCAGTGAGCCCTCAGAGGATGCCTAGGACGCAGCCGGACAGCCTTAGCACTGCCACAGAGGCGAGAGAGGCTCCCGCCACCGCCACTGTGCTAACCAGCTGAGCTCGGCTTCTGGCTGAGCAGTGCTCCCCATGCAGGCGCGCAATGACCACCAGAGTGCAGCTCCTGCGTTGAGCATCTACCCTCAGGTGGTCAGTGCACGTCATAGGGAATGGTTGAACGGCCTTACCATATCATTAACATATTATGCCTTGATTGGTTAAGCAGATAACTGGACGCCCGAACACGTATCATATTAGGCTATTATATAGGATCATGAGATAATACATGTGAAAGTGCTTTCAAAATTAGATTATACAAGGATTTATTCCCATGTTACTATTATCATCATTGTTCTGTCCACTTTACCCTTCCTTCTCAGGCTGAAGGCAGCTAAGTCATTCTAAGCAAAGGGTTTATGTTTAGCAGGGCTTGTACCAAGTGAAAGGGAGACTGTAAGTAGGCACCTTATTGAGAAAATAACAGTAATAACAACCAGCACTGACAGCCTAGCACTTCAGAGTTTATAAAATACTTTTCATCTGAGTATCTCCCTTCAATCTTCATAACAACCCTTAAATATAAGACCTAGAATTAACTACAAGTTTAAGATGAGAATACGAGGGCTCAGAGAAGTGAAATAAATGCCTAATGTTTCAGAACCAGTAAGTGCTAAGATTAAGACTTGAATGCAGTTCCTCTGTCTACTAATTCAAATCTCTCTCCACCACATTGTGCAAAGGGGCCACTAGAGGAGCACAATCTGTCTCCTGTGTCAAAGGTTGCAACACTGCAGTCCGGGCCACCTCTACTGCCGATGTGCCCAAGCCACAGATTCAGAGCCTGTTACTTCCCTAAAGCATTCTGTTCATGTTCCTACCCTTACTCTTTTAAAAAAACATATAAATTACAGACTAACATTAGACCAACTAAAAATCAAACATATTTTCTACATAAGTTAGCTTATTCAACATTACTCTAGCTTTGTACTTCAATGTATTAAATTTAATTTTTACACAATATTCAAGTCTATATAGATGATTCTGAATCAAAATACTTTATTTAGTATATTAGATATTCCTCTAAATCTGCAATACTAATATAGTCTAGTTATACCTAAAGAGCTTAGACTTATTAATCCTCTCAAATTTTCACTGAGTTCACAGAGGAATAATCTATAATAATTTCCATGAGACAAAACTATAATGGCCTTGAGAATAAATATCTAAAAGGATATAAAACAGATCCAAATAAATGTAATACATGACAACATGCAATCTATGCAGAAAGAGAGGCACAAAAGCATGCTCTAGCTCAGAGAAGAGTAAGTCCATTCAGCTAGGGGTTTAATCACAAGGAATAACAACAGCTTGTAATTATAGGAATCGAGAGTTTAGGTCAGTGGTCGGCAAACTCATTAGTCAACAGAGCGTCAAATTGCAGCTCGAGAGCCGCAGTTTGCCGACCACTGAGCTATGGGCTCAGAGAAGGTTCGAGGAACATAGGCATGTGAGTTGTACCCTAATGATGGGTAGGGATAATAAGACAGCACTCAATGCAGAGAAAAAACCTACTCCAATATGCAGAAGTGGGAAAGTAAAGTACCTATTTAAACAAAGGGAAGTATATAGTGTCGTTCTCTGTAATTTATATCCCATCATATTCTTTTCACTTCTCAATTTCCTTCCCTGGTTGCTTTTCTACCATATGATTCCAAAACATTTACCAAGCTATGTTCTTGGCCCTTTTCTCACTCCATACACTCTCCAATTTATTTTCCTCCTCTCATTTTTCAACTAATAGCCATGTTCTGATTATTTCAACATATGGTCATCCAACCCTGATCTCTCTCCTAATATCCTAAGATCTCTTTCCTAGATAGCTCCACTGGAAGATTCTCATAGGTACCTGGAATTAAATACACATAAATATGATACCAAGGGCTCATGAAACCCAAGAGGAAAGATAAATTAAAGAAATTCTTAGAGATCAGTAATTGACTGGAGAGCAGGGTTCAGAAAAAAGCAGTCTTGCCCTTAGTCTGTTTGCTCAATGGTTAGATCATCAGCCTGTGGACTGAAGGATTGTGGGTTCAATATAGGACCAGGGCACAAACCTCTTACCTCAGTTGTAGGTTCAATCTCCAGCCCCAGTCCAGGCATGTGCAGGAAGGCAACCAGTTGATGTGTCTTTCTCACATCAATGTTTCTTTCTCTCTTTCTCTCTTCCTCTCCGCCCCCCACCCTGCCCCCAACCTTCCTTTCCATTCTCTCTTAAAAAAAAGAAAATCAATGGGAAAAATATTCTCAGGTAAGGATTAAACAAAAAAACAAAAAAAGCACAGAAAAAAAGCAGTCTGCTCACCCACATTAAGTGAATGAACAGCTGTTTTTAATGTTAACTGAGGAAGAGAATAAAAGAATAGGAGTAAATTTAGAAATAATTTAGGAGATGTTGGGTATAAGGGATATCTATAAGATATCCAAGGGCATGTGTCTAAGATGAAGGCAATTATTTATATACAGTAGGATAGAGGTTGGCAATAGAAAGAACAAATTTTGAGGTCACCAGTAGGTATATGGTAAATAAAGCTATTAATTTAGATATGGTCAACCAAAAGACCTTATGGGAGGGAAAAGGGAAATGGGTCAAGAACAAAGTCCCAAAGAGAGTCATACTATTTATGCAAGAGAAGCCCAAAACAGACTGAATGGCAAATAGAATGTCTTTTGTAGGGTCATTTATCACAGAAGAAAGAGAATGTGCTCTAGGTTCAAAAGAAGAAAAAAGTTGTCACAATAATTTCACTACGTACATAGTCACCCTATGCTTCAATTTCCTCATCTACTAAATAGGGATTAACACCTTCTCAGAAGATTCCTGTAAAGATGTTAATGAGACAGTGAGCACTCAATAATGAGAACTATTGTTAGTACACTGAGTGGCCAGATTATTATGATCTCTGAACTCATAATAATTTGGCTAGTGTGTGTGTGTGTGTGTGTGTGTTAAAAGCCTGGTGTATGAATTTGTACATGGATGAGGTCCGGCCAGCCTGATGAGGGGGAGGGGACATGGGCGGTTGGCCGGCCTGCCTGCTGGTCGAGGGGACAATTTGCATATTAGCTTTTTATTATATAGGATATACACTGAGTGGCCAGATTATTATGTATTCAGAGATCATAATAATCTGACCACTCAGTGTATAATATCCAATGTTGATAAGATATAATACCTAACTCAGTATGCATTCAGCAGAACAAGAGTTTGGGATAAACATGAGGCTGAGTAGGGGGGAAAAAAGACACTGGGGTGGTACCCACTTGGAGGTAGTTACCTTTTGGCTTGCTTAGTTTTATACAGGAAAATAATACCTAGACAAGGAAAATTAAGCATTTATTAAGTCCTTTTAAAATTTTGATTAATAATAAAATGAAAGGTGGTTTTACTTTGGCTAAGAAACCATTTATTTTATTAAATATGTTTTAATTGATTTCAGAGAGAGGAAGAAAGAGGAAAAGAAACATTGATAGGCTGCCTACTGCATGCCTGCGACTGGGGATCGAGCCCACAACCCAGGCATCTGACCTAACCGGTGGTAATTCAAAATAATGACATTTTCTTTCACAGAATTCAGCAATAAGTTTTTTAAATCACTTATTTTCGATGAAAGTAAAGTAATCAGAGAAGTAGCAGAATATTTGATGTGCATGTTTCCCAGCAGTCAAAATACAAACAAAACCAACAGGTCTAAGCCTAGGCAAATAACACACTACATCTGGGAAGGCAAGCAGTAAAGAGTGCTACAGAACAGTGAGCTCGTTCTCTGTATATTGAGAGTTCTGAATAGTCTGTACAGTCAGAAAGGAGAAGGAAATTCAGCAAAAAATACTGTTACAGACCCATGTCTTTAATGTTTTCTCCTGGAAGCAAGGGTGGCTCTTCCATTTCTGCTAATTTGTTAGACTCCCTCAGGACCTGGATTGGAAAGGGAAGGAGGGGACAAGAAAGGAAATATTTTTTACTCAAAAGTTAATTTATCGCTGAATTTTAACTAAGTATACTTGCTCTAATATAAAATAATAACATTATATTACACATACTATTTTAAATCAAATTACAGAAACTGTAGTGTTGGCATGTGTAACACATAAAGCTACGATTTTTCTACAGAGCATTTACCGAGTGACTGCTTTGTATAAGGTATTATTATATATACAAAACGCTTTACACATTTCCTCATTGAATCCTGCTCAGCCCTGTAAGGCTAGGTGTTATTATCCTCAATCCTAGATGAGGAAAAAAAGGCCAGAAGTGACAATTAGTTCAAGATCACATAGCTAAAAAGTGTCAAAATCTGGATTTGAATTATAGTTTTTAGTGGACTACAAAAGCCCAATTTCTTTCCAGTAAACCATGTCTGAAGGCCTTAATGCATTCAAATTCAGACAAAAATCAAGCTTTTATGTAGATTTAACATTTAGAGAATTTAGAAATGATATTGATAAAGAATCTTGTTGAAAAAAGAGATATTAAATGAATCAAAATCATGATCAATAATGTTTTACTAAGTAGCTCCCTTATAAAAGATGCGACACTGGATTCCAAGAATGTAAGTCCAGGTTTCTTGTGCATTTAAACTGAGAGAAGGAACACACACACACACACACACACACACACACACCACATATTAAACACAGCCATTAGCTACCACAAGCCTCTCCTCTCCACCCCTTTCACTCCCAAACTTCATTTCTAACAATTATTAATCTTCCATTAATTCCTCAACCTTTTGCAATCTGGTTTTGCCACATCACCCACTTCCTTCCCAATAACCACCTCGTTATTAAAGACAATGGACATTTCCATCTTCGTTTTTATTTCTTAGCTACTTTTGACACTATCTGCACATTCCCTTGGCCATTCTTTCTCAGTGACCTTATTATTCCCTTTTCTTAACCTTTCTTGAGGTTCCTCAGAGGTTTGTCCATTTTTCACTTTTCTCACTTCCTGATGATCTCATACTCTATGACTTCATCTAACATCAATCTACATTATCAGCAGAGATTTTTCTGGGACTTTGTTGCTACAGATCCAACTGACTAATGTTCCTCCCCATATGGATGTCCCACAGATAACCTTGAACTCAACAGATTTCAAATTGACCTGCTTTCCACACCTAGCAAGTAGCATCACCATCCATTTTGTTGTCTAAACCAGCTCTGGGGGAGGGCCAAGCAATGGTATCTGTAAGCAGACACAAGCCTTCTACTTCAACCTTGGTTAGTTTCATTAGAGTGAGAACCAACACTATTAAAATAAATGATTCTCAAACATTTAAAGCTTTTGACTTTCATTTACTTCAATCGAAAAAGTAGACTTAAGAGTCCGATAGCAGGTTAAAAAGGAAGGAAACACAATGTGCTAACTCCCTAAAGGACACCCTCCGCAGACCCTCAAAACTGTGTTAGATCCCTTCTGTGCATGAGCTCCAATCTGGCACCACCCACTTTAAGTGCCTGTCTTCTTCCCCACCAGACTCCTAGAGAAGAGGTACCCTATATTATACACTTAAAATACTCATTAGAAATGTAACATGAGCTACATATGTTCTTTTTAATTGTCTAGAAGCCACATTAAGAAAAATAAAAACAGCCGAAACCAGTTTGGCTCAATAGATAGAGCGTCGGCTTGGGGACTGAAGGGTCCCGGATTCGATTCCGGTCAAGGGCATGTACCTTGGTTGCGGGCATATCCCCAGTGGGGGGTGTGCAAGAGGCAGCTGATTGATGACTCTCTCTCATCGATGTTTCTAACTCTCTATCTCTCTCCCTTCCTATCTGTACAAAATCGATAAAATATATTTAAAAAAATAAAAATAAAAACGGTACTAGCCAGTTTTGCTCAGTGGATATAGCATCGGACTGCAGACTGAAGGGTCCCAGGTTCAATTTTGGTCAAGGACACATGCCCAAGTTTCAGGCTCGATCCCCAGGAGGGGACATGCAGCAGGCAGCCAATCAATGATTCTCTCTCATCACTGATGTTTTTCTCTCTCCCTCTCCCTTCTTCTTTAAAATCAATAAAAATATATTAAAAAAAGAAAAACAGGCAAAAGTGATTTTAATATATTTCATTTAATCCAATAAATCAAAATTACTGTCATCTCAGCATGCAACAAATATTTTTAAAATATTAATAATACATTTTATATATTTGTTTATACCAAGCCTTCAAAATCCAGAGGGTATTTTATATATACGACATATTTCAATCCAGACTAGCATCATGATCAATAATGTTTTACTAAGTAACTCCCTTATAAAAGATGCGACACTGGATTCCAAGAATGTAAGTCCAACAGCCACATTTCATGTGCAAGTGGTGCTTGGATTGGGCATAATCTAATCTTCCAGATAATCAAATTATTTCTTAGTTTGCCCTGGCCAGGTAGCTTACTTAGTTAGAGGGTCGTCCTGATACCCCAATGTTGTAGGTTCAATCCCCAGTCAGGGCACATACAGAAATCAACCAGTGAACGCATAAATATGTGGAACAACAAATCTCTCTCTCTCCTTTCTCTCTCTTTCCCCCCTCCTCCGATTCCTCTCTCTCTAAAAATCATTCAATAACAAAGCAAAACAATTATTCCTTAGTTTAAATCAGGTGCTTAGGGAGGAGTAGACATCACTACCATAGCTCAGTACTCAACTAAGACCAATAAGCTAACAACTACAAAGAATTAATTCTGTTCAATAAATCTGCAATCTGAACAAATTCATACTTCTGAAAATACAATGTTTTATTTCATAAAGTAACCTTACTGCAATACCTAAAGAATAAAAATATATATTTACATATATGCATCTTTTATATTCCAAATTCTAAAACTCAAAAAGGTCATATAGTTTAATGACATCTAATTGCCAGTACCTAATATGTAACATAATCATAGAAGAAAGGAAGAGACAGAAGCAGGGAAGGAAGGAGAGAGGCAAGAAAAAGGGAAGTAAACTGGGTCTGTGAGGATGCAGAAAAACAGGATAAAGATGCAATTTGCAAGTATGTTGATTACCTGGACTCATATCCTGACTATTCTACATGCTAGCTAGGTATTCTTAGTCTGGTTGTCCAACTTCTTTATTGCCTCATTTCCCCATCTATAACATGATAATAATTATAGTACCCCACAAAAGGATTTTATAAAAATTAAATTAGTTAATATACTTAAGGCATTTATATCAGTGTTGACATAATATATATTCAATAAACATTTCCTACTACAAATAATTAAAAATTGAGGCTAAACTGATTACCAAACTCTGGAAACAATTTCTACTGATTATGAAAACAACACAATTAGATAAAAATGATACAAATAATAACAGAGTACTTTTAAAAAAAAAAAAAATCAAACAATGATATACATGTGAAAGTCTTTATCTTCTGCCCACTGTCTACCACATGATCTGGAAATACAAAGATTATATCCCTTACAAAGCTGGGCAAGTAATTCCTATATTTCAGAGGTATACTTTCTTGTAGCTGCTACAGTGTTATTCCCATGACCACCTTCCTCTCTTTTTGAAATTCAGAAGGAATTTGCATATCCAAGAATGTATGTGTATTGATATACTCTACAGGAGTGGAGAGGAAGGTAGTTCTGGAAGGGGTACAGGGTAACCTAAGAGGTGTAAGAAGTAAAGCTTTGTAATGTGAGAAAAAAGACAGGGAACTCAGTGCATACTGAGAGCCACAGCCTCTCCTATACCAGTATGCTTTCTGACCAGCATGTCAGAGAATAAGGGCAACAAAGAAAAGGTAAGACAAGATCCCAACTTTGTCCAGAAAAGCTACACTAAATGACATACTTTTAACAATAGGTATACACCAGAGGTTATGTATAAACAATTTATGTTAGAGCCAAAAGATATAAAAAGAACTCAAACAAGTGAACAGAGCAAGGCCAAGGGCAACTCATACTCTACATATGTTGGTCATCACTGGTTTTGAACATGGCTATCTTTCAGCAAACATAAGATAAAAAATTGGGCCTAGAAAAAAGATTATTTGACAAGGAAAAGGAAGTATCAGCCTAATGCTCAACAAAAGAGCAGTCTTCTGAAAATAATACTCTATATGCACTACAAGACACTTTATAAACTAGCTGGCATAGTCAAAAGGAAATTAGTCATATTCCCATAGGACCAGGAACAAAGGCCATAAGTCTCTTAGCACTGAGACTAAGAGAAATGGGACAAATAAAGAATGACTGCAAAAAAATTAAAAATGTAATAGAAGAAATAAAATCTGTGTTAGAATTAAGAGCTATATTGATTATTCAGAAAACAACATTAATTCTTACAAGACACCCAAAACCAGTTTGGCTCAGTGGATAGAGCATAGGCCTTTGGACTGAAAGATCCCAAGTTCAATTCTGGTCTAAGGGCATGTACCTTGGTTGTGGGCACATCCCCAGTGGAGGGTGTGCAGGAGGCAGCTGATCGATGTTTCTCTCTCATTGATGTTTCTAACTCTCTATCCCTCTCCCTTCCTCTCTGTAAAAAAATCAATAAAATATATTTAAAAAATTAATAATTACAAGACTAAGTACATAGGCAGAGGGAGAAAGAGAGAGAGAGAGAGAAGTAATGTACAACAGCAAGATCAGGCTGGCTTCAGATTTATCAACATATTCTAGAAGACAACAAAATGTTATCAGATCTTTGAAGAAAAATGCTATGACCTCTCTAATATGATTGATGGTAACAGAAAGTCATTCTCAAATATGCCATGTCACCAAAAATATAATCCACATGTTCTGTTTTTTGTGGGGGTTTTTTTTGGGGGGGGGAGGGGGGAGTGGGAGAGAGGGTTTGCCTGAGGGCAATTAAACTGAAAGGAAGAAATCAAAATTAAGACTTCTATATAAAAAAATTCGTGGTGTACAGCAAAAGCTTAAGTTGTTATATCCTAAT